ACACAAACCAGGGATTAGCTGTGAGGCGACGGTGCTAGCCGCCGGGCAGAGCCACCGCGCCACTCTGATTTCTACCATTTTCATAAAATTTCCCTAAATGGAAACGACAGCAGACGACGCTGCTCTTCTCTCTTACAGCCACAAGGAGGTCGCAGAGGCCAACTTCGCTCTGCATGAAACACACTGCAGCCGCTTCCTGTGTCTCTGTCCGGACTGTAATGAATCGGTTCCCAGAGAGCAACTGAACCAACACCGGGAGGAGCAACACACTCTGGTACACACACACAACACTACGTCACAGAGCATTGTGTTGTCCTAACCCATCCTCTAACCAAGGCTGTGCCCTGAGGAGCTCTCACTATGTGGACGGAAAGGTCGGCGTGTCTCAACACAGCTAACTTGTGCCTCACAACAAAAGAAGCACAGACACATGATGGTGTTTCCTCTGGAAGGTCACTACTCTGCTTGTTTGCAGGTGAGATGCACCAAGTGTAGCCGGAAGATGGAGCGCCGCCTGCTGGCCGACCATGAGGTGAGTCTGATGTCATCGTACAGCTTCAAAGCAACACAAACAATCCTTTTGTTTAAATTCCTCCTTTGGCATGAATGTCATGGCAACAGGACAGCCAAAGCATCACGGACGGTGGGACTGAACATTGAAAGAACAAAACACAAGTTATTAAACACGATAAAATGAAAAGGAGGATAAAAAGAACTAGAGAATGGCAGGAAGCAGAAAAAACGGTAAACGTGTGAGTTTGCATATATTTATAACAGGTTAGTTATTCATCCTGTTCAGTGATGGTAAATTCTGCGCCCTCAGTTTGGGACATGCAGTCACATGTTGTGCTGCTGGATGCGCTGCTCGTCCCTCTCCTCACACAATCTGTTGCTTTTTGCTGTCGTCTGGGGTTCACAAATTAAATCTCCCAAAGTACTCCTGTCCTATTATATTTGGTCACATTGTGAGAGAAGCACATGTCTGCCTCTGGCTGTCATGCAGAGACCTCAGGATTGATGTAGTGACAGTAAGGAGGCAGACGCATCGTATCACAGGTGGTAAAATAAACTCAAAATACAAGAACAAACATTTGAAGTCATGATCAGGCTGATGAATGCCAGATCGTGACACCAAAGTCACTGTTGCTTTGATTTAACCACACTCTCATATCCAAACACTGTCTGATAACAGATTTGCAGCAACATTTAAGTCCACTGACTTGTGGGTTTCTGCTCTGGTCCCAGGCTGACGAGTGTGAGGAGCGTCTGCAGAGCTGTGTGTTCTGTGAGCTGGAGCTGCCGTGGAAGGAGCTGGACCAGCACTGCCTGGCCTGCGGCAGTCGGACCGAGCTCTGCAGGGACTGCGGCCGCTATGTCAAACTGAGGGACCAGCCGGAGCACGACCTGACCTGCTCAGCCGCCGCCGACGGCTCAAGTCCGCCTCAAACTACCAACAGTGCGCCCGGTGCAAGTACGAGGACGCTGCATTCAGACGAAGAAACCTCCCTCCACAATACTTCTGTTCCTGCTTTTTAACTCTCGCTGTGCTTTGGTCAGCAGCAGAAACAACAGTGAGCTGTAGCAGGTGTTTGGGGTCGTTTCCAGCTGAAGATATAGAGGAACACCAGGTAGGTTCCAGCATTTTTCATACGTATTGTAGGAACAGTTCCTCCAGATCAACACTGATTTTGTGGAACTTGAAAGAAACTGAAAAAAATCTAAAATCCAATGAGAACAGCTGAACGACAAATTACACTTTTTCCCTCATTTGCTCAAAATTGTGTCATTTGGACCTAATGAAAAGTGAGAACTACACATTTTGTAGGTTTTTAGAGCAAAATGATTGTCCTCCTTCGCAGGTGAGTTAATATCACGTAATTGTGTGAAAACATCCCATAACTATGAGACCCTGATCTCAAGCTGTACATCAGGTGTTGCTACCTGAGAGGCTTCACTGGACTGAAGGTCAAACATATGAGCTTGAACATAAGCGATGCTCTTTTTCACATTAAAACTCTCTCTTTACGTTTCTTACTTTCAGCTTTCGAGACACCGTTAGTGTTGTGTTGCCATGGTTACAGCACACCTGGCTGTAACAACAACCCTTATTTTCCTAAACATTTTGCAGAAGTGAATACGTTGAATTAGCCAGTGACTGTTCCACTGGATGTATGGACCATTTTTACTGGATTACTTTGATACTGAAGAAATCTTAAAACCCTGATAATTCTCAGGCAAGTTCCAAAGCAGTGCAGCCCCCGGCCATTAGTGTTTTCTGCATTATTTTCTAATTATGAACACGTCATAATTATGATAGAAGATCTCTGTATGTGCTCCCACACTCTTGAATGTACTGCGTATGCTTAACCTTTAGCACTTTGCGTCCAAAATCTCATCCCTTCTCCTCAGTTCAATTGATCTTGAAGTGTTTACTGCAGTGAGATGCAGCACATATGAAACGAAAACACATGACTTGACCTTTCCAACAATGCTAGGTGCTTGTCCGTGCGACAAAATGTCAGCAAGAAGAACAATCCTGAATATAAATACATTTTAATCAGCACAACCAGCGGCCATACAGCCCGGCATCAGCGTTCACACACAGCACTCCTGTTTGATTTTCTCTTTAGTCATTGCACAGATGTGTTCATATCTAGATATGTTCATATGTATGCAATATTATTGTTTCACAAGAGCAGAAGTGGAGCTTTGTCATTATGCTTTTTACATACATGGTTCCCATCAGAACATACCAAAGTACCGGATCAGTATCATGCAGTTACCGTGAATGATTTCTTCTTCCACTGCTTCTCAGTTGAATTAGCTCTTATCATCTGATAATTTACCAGCTGTCAAAACAAACTGCAGAAGTCACCCTTCCAGTGATACGAGGTGTTTCTCTGTGACTCACCCCAATTTGAAATCACAGCAGGAGGCGAGCACCTCCCTGGTTTGCCAGCTCTGCACAGAGGCCACTGCTTGTGCACACTGTAGTGAACACAATAATGAGACATGAGGGGCATATTTTCCCAATTTCTAAGCCTTGCAGCATCCCACCATCATAGCTCAGACAATCTCCCCTCCATGGGAAGGAGAAGATGTCTCTACTGCCAGCATGATGGGAACATGTAAAAACATCATATCTTAATATGATTCCCCCTTGATTTAAAGGTTGATGGATGGTTGATGAATCTACAACTACGATCAGCTCAAATGATGAGAGATCTGGATAGTTTAGACCAGGGGTGTCCAGTCCTGGTCCTGGAGGGCCACAGTCCTGCATGTTTTAGATGTTTCTCTTTTCCAACACACCTTAGCCTTCATGGTGACTATGTTAAGAGCCTCAGACTAACGGTAGTAAAATGGCCTCGTCTCTGGCTTTGCTTCATGTGAGCTGAGGTAACTTTTGCTAAATGTGGCAGCTTCAAGTCACCGTCATGAGATAAGGCTAAACGCTAAACTACCATCTAGCTTAGTTAAAATGCTAAGCTACTGCACAAATAGATACAGTCAGTGAACTGACTCAGTAATGTGTCATACGAGGTGTCAGGAAAGTTCCAGGACTGGTGTCACAGGAGATATGTGTCAAACCCAAACTACGAGGTTTCTCCTTCAGA